TATCTAAGCTTCCCTTAGCCTTGTCCCCGACTGCCCCTCCTGAGACCCCCCACCCTAGCTGCCCCCTAAGATCCCACTCCCTACCTGTCCCCTGACTGTTCTGACTCCTATCCACACCCCCGCCACATCCCCGGGACTCCCACGCCTATCCAACCATTGCCTGTCCCCTGACTGCCTCCCCCGAACCACCAACCCATCTAACCCTCCCTGTCCCCTGACTGCCCCAATCCCTCTCCACACCCCTTCCCTCTGACAGGCCCCCTCACCCAGAACCCCTGACCCATCCAACTCCCCTGCTCCCTGTCCTTTGACTCGCCGCGCTCCCTGCCCCACCCCACCCCACCCTAGCTCACCTCCGCTCCGCCTCTGCCTGCTCCCCTGAGCGCGCAGCCGCCCGCTTCTCCGCGCGCCCCCCCCCCCCCCCCCCACAGACTTGCCTCGAATCAGCTGTTCGCGCAGCAAGTCTGGGAGGGAGGGGGCGAGAAGCGGAGCGGTGCGGCTGCACACTCAAGGCAGCAGGCAGAGGTGGAGTGGAAGTGAGCTGGGGCGGGGAGCGGTTCCCCTGCGCCCCTCCCCGCCCGGTTACCTGCTGCGGGCAGCCCTCCCCGCGCCCCCCTGCCCCAGCTCACCTCCGCTTCTCCCCCTCCCTCCCAGGCTTGCCGCGCAAAAGTCTGGGAGGCAGGGGGGTGGAGGGGAAATGCGGCACGCCTGGGGAGGAGGCGGGGCCTGGGATTTGGGGAAGGGGTTGGAATGGGGGTGGAGCCGGGAGCGGGGGCGGGGCGAGCACCCACCAGCGCCGGCTAAAGTCAGTGCCTATGCCCCGCGCAGCCGGAGAGGCCCCAAGTGAGCAGCTCAATCCAGCGCGGCTGCCCTGTCAGCCGCTTTTGGGTCTTTAAATAGCCGTTCAGGGGGAAATCCCGGACATTTTTAGCTTTTTACAAATTCCCCCCGGACAGCTATTTAAAGACCCAAAAGCCAGACATGTCCGGGGAAGCCCGGACGTATGGTAACCCTACATAATAATATTATACGAGACCATTCTGATAATGGAACACATATTAAGTATAAAATAATGTACATGTATCTGAAGTTGCAGAAAAAAGTACATCGTATTATGGGAGGAAGTAGTATGTGATCCCGTGGTCAAACTGTGTCATAATACCAGTGCACAAAGGTTTCACGTGCAGTCTTAACTGTGGAATTTTGAGTACTTAACCATGGCAATGTTATCTTCCTCTTAACGCTACTTTTGTGTGATGCATGCACATGTAAATTATGAAAGGTTTCAGAGTAGCAGCCGTGTTAGTCTGTATCCGCAAAAAGAAGAACAGGAGGACTTGTGGCACCTTAGAGACTAACAAATTTATTAGAGCATAAGCTTTCGTGGACTACAGCCCACTTCTTCGGATGCATCCGAATAAATGCTCTAATAAATTTGTTAGTCTCTAAGGTGCCACAAGTCCTCCTGTTCTTCTTTTCATGTAAATTATGGCATTTCCTGGAAGACTCTACTCCGAAATTCCTTCCAGCCGTATGATCATGTAGGCATGTTAATGTGTGACAAATGGAAATACTTTTTCATACAGTACAGTTCCCCTTGATTTGACTGATACAGGTAAGAACACCACCCTCTGTGGAAAGACATCAGGGGAGCTCCATGAAAATGTTTCAACACATGTGGTAATCAGGGCAGGTACATACTGTTGATTAGACTCCGCAATTGCAGTGCTGAGATGGAGGATCTCAACTCGACCATTTCACCAAAGTCATTTGCACTATTATCCAAAAGTCTATTATAAAAGTTAATTTCCTTAAAATATTATGAGCAAAGATGGTCTGTAATGATTTTGGCATATAACTGAACTCGCCGAACAATACTTTCCTTCATAAACACCGACGAGGGCCATCTATTAAAATATTTTATGTGAGGAATACCCAATTGTAGTCTGTTTGTTTTAAGGGGAAGTAAAATGTAATTTACCATCATCTAGTGAGCTTCTGTCTGTAGAAGTTAAAATGAACCCTAAGCAATTCAACTTAAAATGAATTGTTTTTAATTTCAGCATCAATGAATGGATGTTTCTCAGTCTGTTCGTTCAAGTCAAAAGCTGGCCAAGCCTGGAGGCACTACATTTGTAAGACACTGCCAGCATCTCTGAGCTCTGTAAATACACTGGTATGGGGGCGGGCGGCGGGGGGATCACCTTCCCTCACTCCCAGGCGAGGGTATTTTCCAGTGGATTTTTACAATGGTTGTGACCCATTTGCAAAGTCGTTTTCTTTCTTCATTTCCACTGTTAGAGATTGATCTTCACCTGGGCCTCTTCTTTTCTCCCTATGATAATGCTTCATTAGGTGTGCAGGTGCTCCCATAGTTTCACACCTTTAGAACCAGCGTGTGCTGCCAGAACCCTGGGAATCACTAAACATGTCTGGTAACTATCCCAGGAAGATAATCAAGATTTATTTTGCACGTTGAAGAGGCTAAATGTGCCTTTGATGTGGTTGTAGTGGAAACCTGCCTGTTGAGGCAGCATGATGCCCTGCCATGCGCAAAGCTGCAGAAAGCAGGAGAGAGCGCCGGTACCTATGCAGAAGCAATGATAGGATTTGTTCCACAGCGTGATCTCAGAAGAGCACAAGCCGTCTGTCAGAGCCATCGGAGAGCAGGGAAGGGTAGAAACGTTGTCAGAACCAGCACGTACAGTACCCGTGTTACCGTAGGCCCTTGGGATTAGGAACTGACGGAATTGTGCCCTGTACAGATGCATAGTAAGAAACAGTCTCTGCTTTGAAGTGCTTACAATGTAAATAGCAAATACGGGCAAAGGAAACAGTGAAGAGACTTGCCCAAGGTCACCCAGCAGGCCAGTGGCAGTGTTGGGAATAGAACCTCGGTCTCTTGATCCTCATCCAGTGCTCTTGTCACTGGAACACACTGTAATCGAGGTGCTGATGCTAGTCAAGGCGCATGAGTAGGTGTGAAGGTGCTCTTCACTGGAGCTCTTGAGGCAAAATTGGTTGATGTTTAACTGAAGTCAGGGAAAAGTACGGCACTGTCATAGTGACAGCTCTGATTATCAGAGGCTCACAAAAATGCATTGATACCGATACTCTTTTTTAATCTCATGAATTGCTTTAGAAATAAAAAAGTAACGCTCCGCATTAAAATGCTGCTTGTAAAAAAAAAAACCTTAAAAATTTTCAAGATAAACCTGTTTAGCAGCTGTAATAGAACTGGAGAAAAGCCTGTGATGAATAAAGAAATGTGAACATGCTGGCAGTAAATGGGTATGCCATCTAAACAGGCCGGCTGCGCTGTTTATCCATTGGTTTGTTGTTAAAATTCATTGCATTGAATCTGGTCCCTGGTTACTGTCCTAGTAAAGCAGCCATGCCGTTAATCAAAATGCTAGTTAAAGGAATACTGCTGTGTAATATTTTTTATCTTGGATTTGAAACATCTGATTGAAGGGCAGCACCGTATGTCGCCTCAGTTAAAAGTTACAGGAATAGACAATTTATTGGATTGTGTTAATTTTTACAGATGCAGATTTACTTCTACAATCCTGATGACTTCGACAGTTTTGGAGCAGCAATTTTAGAAAACCGGATAATAGGAGCCATGGCTGTGTTTTTTCAAGTAAGTTATACAGTGGCTAAAGTACTAAAACCAAAGAGTTCGCCACCTCTTTTTTATTCATTTTATTCATTGAATTGTTTCGTGTTTAATGGATGCATCTGTTTTCTCGGTCACACCTGTCTAAATGAAAGATATTTCATATTGTCTAATGTGTGATTTAAAATGTAAATAAGTGTGTTTAGAAACATAATGAAAAGTTTTGCATGAATTATTCTGATTTTATAGCTACTTGACTCGTGCACAGATTGGAGAGCACATTTATCATGGAACTTACTTCGCTGCTGAAGCATGGTGCTCAGGTTCTCAGAATGTTAACAGACTTATATAAAAGTGCTTCTGTTTGTAGAAAATTTTAAACTCAGACATAATTTGCCAGCAGATTAATCAATAACTTCAGTCAAGTTGTTTTCTTTAGTAGCCTCTGATTCTGAATTGCCGTGGTAACAAGTTCTTGGGCAGACCACGTTTCCAACTGTGTGAATTTATGCATTTCTTTTTTTCAAATGTATTTTCAAGAATATGAATGTTCAGTTAGTTCATTCGTTGGTTTGGCACACTTGAACCCTGCAGTCCTTTATACAGACTGCTGCATATGAGGGCTGGCAAGTCAAGTCAAATTGAGGGGGTGTTCAGCAGTGTGGGCCTTTTTTGTCACGTTACAGCAGAAAAAAGGTTTTACTTTTCTGACTGGAGGATAAATTGAGGCGAGTGTGTTGAAGCAACTTTACCCCACTGGGCTGTCACAGAGTAGTATCTAATGAACAATGTGAAACAACTAAAGATAAGCACATAAGAATGGCCAAACTGGGTCAGACCAATGGTCTGTCCAGCCCAGTATCCTGTCTTCCAGCAGTGGCCAATGCCAGGTGCAATTGTAACTCCGACAGACCCCGGTTGTCGGCAGGTGGGATCGAACCTGGGACCTCTGGAATTTAGTGTATGAGCCTCTACTGCATGAGCTAAAAGTGAACTGGCTCTTAGCTAAGGATGTAGAGCAGACTCATTAGTTTTTCTCTCTCTAAGTGGTCTCGGTGCCACTGTCTCGGGGACAGAACACCACCCCCAGAAAGTATGTGGGTTACACAAGGTTCCTTTTTCAGAAGAACTACAAAGCTCATGGTACATCCTGTTTCTCTAATGAGTTTCAGAGGCATCGCACACCTTTGGGAAAGTGGAGGGTTTGTCCTGAAGAGTAGGTTGAGCTTTTTATTATTTTTGTGACGCTGAATTAAAACCTATGACGTGTGATTGCAAGAAGAGGCGATTCTGTTCCATTGAAAGGAATAGGGACACATGGGTCAACGTGTGTCGTCGTCTTTATGTTAGATGGGCAGACCTGACTTCGCTGTCCAAAGTGAATATAGCTCATCTTCTCCTTTTCTTTGATTTTGACCAGATTCCATGTGAAAGAGGAGAGGGCAGACCCTCAGCTGGTATAAATTGTCATACTCCATTGGGTTGACGTCACTGAAATATGCATGGGGAAAGAGGAGTGACAGGGTTGGAGCGGGGGATGGGGCCTTGAGAGGAGGGGCAGAGTGCGGGTGGGACCTGGGGCTGAGCAGAGGAAGGCTTGGGGGTCCACGGCAAAATGTTAAATCAAAATGGGGGTTCTCGGCTACTAAAGTTTGAGAACCATTGCTCTAGAGTAGCCCTGATTAGGAAGAGCTGTGTCTAATTGGTGGATGAGGTTGGGCTGAGGAGAGCCCCGAAGGCTCCTTTGCCCATTACCCAAGAAGTGGAAAAGGCCCAGGAAGTGGTCAGGGGGAAGAGAGAGAGAAAGAAACTTTTTTCAGATGTCTCTAAAAATTCACTGTGATTATTTTTTGTATTCCTCCACCTGCAAAACCAGGTGCCTTAGTTACTGTATGTTCCACTTTACAAGGCTCAGACGGAGCCATCAAACCCACTAAAAATAATGTAAGATCGTGCGTTAGTATTGTAAAACATCCTGATTTTAAGGTATCTTGAGCCTGGTTGAGTGCTGTGGCTCCTTGGAGGAAGCAGGGAATCCACATTTTTCAGATTCCTAGGCCTGCAAGGCTTTAATGATGTGACATCTGTATGATGATGCAGCTGGGTTTCTGTGGTGCAGGAGCCACCAAATCTGCTGAACACTCTCCCAGATCTCTGATCATTTCCAAAGAAGGGGACTAAGCTAAATCTGGGGCATACTGACCTGATGACAGGCCTGCCTCGGAGCTGCAAAGAAACTTTTTTTTCTCCTAATTTTTCTGCCTCCAAGTTTGAATTATAAATCAGGTATGTGTTAATGATTCACTTTTTGGATCTGTTTGAAGACTGTCTTCAGGGTAGCTGTACGAAAGGATGACAAGTCACCTGTGCAAATGTCTAGCTATCTGGGCCCTGATCCTGCAAAGATTTAAAGTTGTGCTGAATTCGGCACAGCTGGAGTGGCCCCATTGACTTCAAGGTTAAGCAGGACAGCTGCAATCTTGGCCAACACCCGGGGTTGAACTGGGGAGTCTCTAGAGCTGAAAGCAAGTGTCTTGAGCTACAGAGCCATAGTTCATAGCTGTCAGCTGGACCAGACTTGTGTGCTCTGTGGATCGGGGATGCAGGACACATGCTGACCAGTGGGTCACATAGGCACATGTGTAAGTCTTTGCAGGATTGGAGGGTTAGGGGATAGGGAAATTATGAAATATGGAACTTCTGTATTTCAGTGGTTCTGAATAGAAAGAAAAAGCTTCAGATGACCTTTGCAATCTGACTTAAGACAAAATAAACAGCTGTAAAATTAAAATTGATATCCCCAAGGAGAAGAAATAGTTATTAACCTTTGCAAACCATGCTGCATATCTAAATATGAAACACCCCTGACTCTCTGAAGGCTTCTTCTTTGCTCCAGTGGGCTTCCATTGTGGTTGTAATCTAGCTGCATATTGCATGCTGGGGCATATCGCAGAGTGGGAGCTAGTGAATCCATACTTAAACCAAAAAAAAAAGAAGAGAAGGTTTCCCTCTCTACTACTACTAGGTGCTGAATACTTCTCTTAACACAGGGGTTCTCAAACTGGGGGTCGGGACCCCTCAGGGGTCACGAGGTTATTACATGGGGGGGGGTCGTGAGCTGTCAACCTCCACCCCAAACCCCACTTTCCCTGCAGCATTTATAATGGTGTTAAATATATAAAAAAGTGTTATTAATTTATAATGGGGGTCGCATTCAGAGACTTGCTATGTGAAAGGGGTCAGCAGTAAAAAAGTTTGAGAGCCACTGTCTTAACGTCACTCTTTGGGGTATTTTGCAAATAACCTTACTGATCCTGATGTTTTAAATCAGTGGTCCTCAAAGCCGGTCCGCTGCTTGTTCAGGGAAAGGCCCTGGCGGGCCGGGCTAGTTAGTTTACCTGCCACTTCTGCAGGTTCAGCCAATCGCAGCTCCCACTGGCTGTGGTTCGCCACTCCAGGACAATGGGGGCTGTGGAAAGGGCGGCCAGCACGTCCCTCGGCCCACACTGCTTCCCACCGCCCCCATTGGCCTGGAGTGGCGAACCACGGCCAATGGGAGCCACGATCGGCCGAACCTGCGGACGCGGCAGGTAAACAAACTGGCCCGGCCCGCCAGGGGCTTTCCCTGAACAAATGGTGAACCGGCTTTGAGAACCACAGTTTTAAATAACTACTCGCAAGTAGTCACCTTGAAGAATGGTTTTCTAACTTCCACCCAGAAAATTCCGAGATGTCGCTGTCTGCTTTTTGTGTAATACTACTTGCCCGTCCAATATTAGACTCATTGTTTCCAATCCTTTAGACGCTTGGTTTTTGGATAGTAAATAGAGCCTTCTCTCTCTTCACCACCTAGGAATATGTTTCTAAGTGTTGGATTAATTATGGGACAAAGCTTGTTTTTTAAATACAAAAAGAAAATTAAATAGTGCCTATTTTTCTACATAAATATTGTATCGTGTAATGGATTTGCTAGGGTTTGCCATTAAATGAAGGCTTGAATTATTCCTAAGGTTTTAATGCAGTGTTAGACTGGATTTGTGTGTGCACTACACTGAATTTATGGTCTGGCAGGTGTTTTGTGCTTGACTGATATTCACAAATGTTCCTTCTAAATTCAGGTTCCCCAGTAAGTGAATATTATACTGAGCTATATAATTATTGGTGAAACATTAAATAATTAAGAACCCTTCTTTTCCTCCTTTTTAATAATTTAACTTAGATCATATAAGAATTTTCCTTATTGAATTCATTATGTTTCAAGGGCACTTTCCAAGTATAGTACATTGGATCCGAACTTGACTAAATTGAAGCAATTAGAACTTGGTTGTAATGAGTGCTGATGAAGTCTGTATTTTTCTCATTGCTTTCAGAGACTTTATCTCAAGCCTTATGATTATTATTATTATTATTTTAAATGTTGTCAGGGTAGTTGACCTCATGAGTGAATAAAATTACAAGGTTAAGTTGAATGAGAAATTCTTGCAGGTGCAAGCAGCATGCATTCATAGGTGTTAATCTGAGTTTGTTTGAGTGTGGTTATACTCCTGAAAAATGATTCTCTGAAAATAATACCATGGGGAGTTCCATGTTGATTGTTTCTCAAGGACTCCATATCAGATGTTCTCAGTTTGCAAGTAAAGCAGTGTTTTTTCTGACTGCCAGACTGCGATCTCAAACTGGGATCTGAAAGCCAATATTGTGCATTTGATTTGAAATTCCCCCCCATGCAGAGGGCCAGCATGAGGCCTGTGTGCAATTTAAGTCTGACTTAAGCCCTGATCAGCCTTGATCAAATTTCACCCTGGCAGCTTGTTGGAGATGCACAAGGCAGGAAAGAATCCAGCTGACTCTCCCACAGATGAGTTGGCTCTGTGCTCCTAATAGAAGTCAAAACTCACTTTTGTCATTAAAAATTAGCCGATTCATCTCCTTGGATGCATAGGGAGCAGACACAGACATACATCTATTCTCTCATAGTACAAAGCACCAAAAATGTCATCACAGGGCACAGTAAACAAAACACA